GCACCCGCTCAGGCAGAACTGTAAAACCCAGAAATATGTTGAATTTGTAAGGCTGTCTGAAGAGTATTCCGGGCGTTGGATTGGGCGACTTGGTCCTATCTTATGGCCACCCCGATCACCCGACCTAAACCCCCTGAACTTTTTCTATTGGGGTTGTCTCAAAGACAAAATCTATGAAAAACCCATTACGACATTGGACGAGCTTCGGCAAAAAATTAGTCAGGCTGCGTCACATATCAATGCTAAAAGGTATGCACGAAAAATAAAACGCTCTTTTTTAAGGCGATGTCGTGCATGTATTAATGCCGGTGGAAAACAATTTGAACATTTACTGTAATGTTAATTATTAATAAATGAATGAGACTAAAACTCACTATTGTTTTATTTCAATATTTTTTTTAAATATTAAAACATTTCGGAACAGTACAATTTATTACTCACAACTTTGGTTCTTGATTCTAAATGGTATGATTTTTAGTTTGTTGCTAGTTATCATGAAGTATTATACCATTATGGAATCTTCATGAGCTGCGTCAATTTTAAAAACAACTTGCCACAGTGGTGTCCATACTTTTTTTTTACAAGACCGTAAGTCAAAGATTACGGAACGTAAAAATCTGTGAAAATTTAAGGAAAAAATACATTTTCATTGTTTTTTGTGTAAAAACTGCGGGCATTTTGGTGTTTTTAAGAGTTGTAGCGAATAGTAGTGCTACTTAGGTATCCGATACCAAAAAAAGATTGAACATAATTGAGAAGTTGTGGTCGTGGTAGTTGAAAATATCATAAAAGGTGTAAATTTTCGAAGATTTTCGAATTTAATTTTATAATAAAAAAAAAATTAATAAGTTATATTTTTTTCTTATTTTTCCATAAGTACACATGAGCAGGTCTACCTCTTGGCGCCCGCTTATCGTTGAATTTTGGGACACGTTGTATGTGTACATTGTTATCTATGTTTTGTTAACTATCTTAAGTGTTGTGTTATTTGATCTTGCACATTATGTAATACAAAAACTAAAAGGGAAGGTGTTGTAATATTATAGCATAGATAAATGGTATAGTCTGTTTCCGGTGTATTGTATCCTGTGTGTGCAGGTCTGTGATTGTAATTGTATCTGTGAGCATCATAGGAGAGTAGAAAATTAAACAAATTAAAAACATTAAAGAATTATAAAACATAGACAACACACAACCAAAAACGCTGGTCATAGAGATTTGAAATTTTGAGGGTACGTTCGTCTTATTGCGTAGGTAGTAAGAGCTAATTTTTGGAAATTCTACCTTGAAGAGAGTTAAAAGGGGTGAAACGTTTCTATGATACTTTTTTGTTTTTGAATCGATGAAATAAGTATTTAAGTAGTTTAAGGCCCTGAAAACATAATGATATATTTTGTACCGAAAACCACTACTTATACGGATACAAACGGAGTGGAAGTTTTTATGGAGAATTGAAATATTACCACAGCAACCTTTGTTTATTTAATTTGTAAATGTATTTAATATTATTTACAAATATTAAATTACATAGCGATGAAAATTGGTGTTTATGTAATGTATAACAAAACAAAATATTTTAAATTTGTATTTTTTTAAATGTTCTTAAATGAAGTAATTTTGTTTACGAAAGAAAAAAGATTTTTATATATTTTGAACTGTACTAGATGGCTATAAGTATTCTACATCGCACTGATTTGCTCAAGATTGAGTTTTAAAATAAAATGTAGTAAAAAATTGAAGCTTTGCTATACTAGATGGATGGCGTTTATTCTAAAATTATCTGCGCTAACGTTTCTTTCAAAGAATTTTGCATAGATTACGTTTTATATTAAGTTTTGTGTAAACTTCAGAACTGTTTTTTCCGTCTGTATTTCAAATTGGATTGGATTGTATTAATAATCTAAAGTTTTCAAAGATGAATGTGCTAAAACATATTGGATATTTGTTTTTTTTTTTTGTTACAGTATCTTCGAACTTAAACATCAAGATAATTTCATCATCAGCTCAAAAACGACAGCGTTTTTGAAAAATATATGTAGCCCAAAGTAACTATACCACGCGGACGAAGTCGCGGGCAAGAGCTAGTATGTTTTAAATCCAAAGGTCTGTCTATTACATTTTCAGACTTGAACTTCATAAGAGGTTAATACGAGACTGTGGAAAAAATAAGGATATTTGATTTTGCCATATCATTATCTATTTTATCCTTGTACGTAGATATTTACTACCTTGATATGCTATTTATACAATGATGACATGAAGAGCGATAACTGTTGGCATGACAGCAAGTGCACAACAGTCCTTAAATGAACAGGAGGATTATTTTTAGACAGAATTATAGTTTTTTTCTAAAAAATATTCACTCAATTAGTTTTAATGAAAGGCACCATCTCTTGAAATAAGGGTAAGTTATTTGTTAGCACTTATTATGAAACAGGAGGTAGATTGATTAGCAATATAGTGTATGGACCATTTATTAAGGTGTATTCTGCGTAACAATAACCACTGCGCAGACGCCAACACAACATCTGATGTTATTTTTAAAAGCTTCTCTTTACAAAATCCAAAACTACACGGCAAATACATTAAAATAATGAATAATCATTAAAACTATTAAAGTACGTGTCTTGTGACACCTTGGGGACACGTTACTTCATCCAATGCTCCTGCCACATTTCCCAAAGTACACTTTCACGTACTTTTATCGCCCAAACCAACCTTCAAACCACAGAAATAATTGCGCGTTCAAACCATTGTGCGAGCCACTCGGTTACGGTAAGGGGTGGTGTAGGCATTGTCATGCACTAACTAACTAACTAAGAAATTTAAGACTTTTTTTATTTCCAGCCGCTGCAAATGATACAATTAATAATTTAAGCAGTAATACATTAGGTGGGCGTGTATTCCGTTTCATCCTTTCACTTAAAATGTGGGTAATGTATGCATGGAAATGCCCAAACGCTGAATACAATGTTCAACATACGCAAGCTTTCACCCCTTTTGTTATAACAGTATTGTTTAATTACTCCTCCCCCGTTACTTAACAGTGAAAATAAAAGTGAAAACAGAGCAAGATGGAATCGCGAGACTAACGGCGTTCCCGAAATAAAGCAAAAAAATAGTATAATTAATTACTCGAAAATAATTACGATTCTTTTTATATCAGTCTGCGGCCATTATTTGTCTTAAAAATTCATCCAATTTTCACATTAAACAGGCAATTATTTACAAAATAATCCCTCTTTTGTTTGTTGATTACCCATGTCACTCTATAAATAAAGAACAACAAGACTATATATAAAGATAATATGGATGATTTAGTGATAGCTTTGTATATAATGATTTAATAATAATTTAATATGATATCATATGTCAGTTTTGTTGTCACACTATGACTATAAAGAACTTAATAAAGTGTTAATTAACAACAACGAATTAAGTTAAGTACTTTTAACATTTTTAATCACGATATCGAATTTCTTCTTTGAGACACCTTTTGAAGAAACGAATTTAACACCCCTTTTATTACAATTTCTAAATTTATACTATATTCAAAATCTCACTTCAGAGTTTAATGTTTTTACAGTATCAATAACTTAATGTCGCTTTTCTTTATCTTGAAATGTAATAACTTTTAAAGAATTTGCTATTTATTATAGATGGTTTCAAATTGAGTACTGCCGTCCAGAAACTAATAATGCTAGGTGCTTTACTATTAGCCTTAGAGCTTTCATGTTAACTAATCATTATATTAATACGTTATTTTTGCCAATTTTTACTAGGACTTGATATATTTATTTATTATTATTCCATAATAAATTTTCAACAGTTCAATACCTTTATTTGTTTGTTTGTTACTTTTTTGAATGTTAAAAAAACTCCGTTGCGTTGGTGTTCCATCACTTCACCTCCGCACTGGGTACTGAATGATGTATATATACCCTTAGAAATATCAAGCTTCAGAAATAATCTTATACATTTTTGCCCCGAGCTCTCTGTCTTATCTCGCTTCATAAAATGTTTAAATGTAAAGCTTTCAATAGTCAGGTAATTTTGAATGCATAAATAATATTTGATATTGTCTTATCTTAAATTAAATAACTAAACTTTGTTTCAAGGATAACTGAAATTTGAATAGAAAAGCTCATTTTCTACATTCACTCGAATGAATTATAAAACAAAGTCGAATTTCGACAACAAAGCTGTTCCGAAACGAAAAATAAACTTAATTGTTTGAGTAAATATATTAATAATTAAAAACACATCGTTATAATAGAATATCAACAATAAAGTCAATGAAATGTTTTTATAGCTATGGCTAGAATTATGGCCAGAGAGTGAGACGGTCGCTTTGCGAGGGTACCAGGGTAACCTGGCCATCACACATAACATTCACTTGTTAATACTTATAAAATCATAAATAATAAGGGCAATGACAGCAAATATTTAGACCATAATTATAAGAATCTATATATAATATAAAATAAAGTCGCTTCCCGCTATCTGTACGCTGAGATCTTTTAAAACTACGTTACGCTTTTTATTGCAGATTTCATATAAAAAAAAACGAGTAATTCGGAATGATATTATATTGATGAAACCTTTGGTTTTTTGTTTGCTATTCAATATAGCCCCCGACCTATGGATTCACTTTAAACATTCAACCTAAAGAAGGTTCGGTTAGAAGGCTACATCATACGCGGGTGACATAGGATATAATATACACGGGTAACATCGCGAGTTAACACCTAGTACTTTATAAAGTACAAACACCAATGTACTATGATACCATTTAAATAAACAATTACAAGCACAATAAAATATAATAAAACATTTTTTATGAAAAACGTACGGGTATTTGGCGATTTTAAAATAATCATTAATTTATTGTGTATGTGTGAATAATGTATGGAATTTTATTAAGTCTCGCAAAATATTCTAAATTTGATTGGTTCAACGACAAAACGGAAGTGCCTCAAACTTTTTTATTGTGCGTACAGATCGACGCATACCAATAATCCTGGCACTCCTGGCACCCTGAACGGCGTGAACGGCAGCGTGCACGGGGAAGCCAGGCAAGCACAGTCTAGGAAGGCCATCATCAGAATGTTGGGTGAGTCGACGATCACCAGTCATATCTTCACAAGTTTTTTATGTTTATAATTTTTGTATTGGAAAACGTTGCAAATTTTAAATAAACATTAAACATCTCGTACACTCCCCCTGATTTCAAATTAAGTAAATAAACTACTTACGAGTTACTTCTACGAAGGTATACTTTGAACATTTTTAACTTAAAAAAAATGCATTAAAACGTCAACTTCTTGACCAACAAATTTATAAACAAGAAATAATTAACGAATCGATGATCCGTCTATCAGAATTGCTTAATAGCCTGTATTAATTGATTTTCAAGCCGCGGTTTTTTTTCGCCTTCTTCAAACGATAGAAAATAAAGGAACCTACACAAAATAAAATCGAAGATAAATTCGAACAAAGTCCATAATCATAATATATTTAGACGCCACAACTCACCCGTATATACATTGAACAGCCTAACCTAATAATCATTTCTTTAATATTTAAAATTTTTAAATAGTCACAATATTTTAATAATTCAATGGCAAGCATCAGCAACTCTTAAGTTTATTAAATATATTTTTTCCAAAACGTATCCACAAAAAACTAATAACTTCCTGTTGGTTTTATAAATAAAGCTATAAAAAAAAAAATTATAAAACTACATCATATACTTAAGGCTATTCATGATTAAAACATGAATTAATAAAACTTTTTTATATAGTAAAAAAATTAAAAAGAGCTCTATACTCCATTCATTTTAGCATTAGACTGAATGAAAATAAGGTTCTTTTTATGGTATACTTTGTGACAAAATATTAACAATCATGTTACTCTTAAGACTGACCGCTTATTTGCTACATATCCACTTAAATACCAGCTGCTATACTTAACAGTTGTCGTTTAAGCTATCTGTTAAACAAAATTATGAGTATTTGACTAACTTAAAAGATTTAATAACTTTTACAATAAAAAGTGTTCATCTTAAAGAACCTAGAGAGGCAGGGTTGGATACTCTCGGCACGATTCTCATGTCACTATAAGTCTACTAAATTTAAAACGTTGCCTAATCCCTTCAAACGTTTCAGTAGTACAGCTTTTTAATTTTGTCAGATTATGATGTATTCGTAATAGTCAAAATACGTAATCTGGGATTCTCAATAATTGTTAATGTTATTGCCTTTCTTGTTGTTTTACCGTATTCCATGATTGAGTTGTTATTGTATTATTGTTGTTTTCTTATAGTTTTGATTTAGTTGTTATCTTTTTGATGTTAAGTTTTGCTAAATATGGACGATTCCGGTGCAGGTCCGAATGGCCTACAACAATTACCTTTGACATTTCAGGAAGTTTTTTCAATATCTTAATCAATTATCTAATAATATCTGAATGAAAGGTACCAAAGTAATAATAAAAATTTATAACTATATAACAACATTCTATTCTAATTATACACTTACAATTAGAATTTATCAAAACAAAAATCAAAAAAACAGAAAATCCTGTACTCATCTCAACCCCGAGGTATCGTATAAAAATGGAAAATTGCTCTTTCAGATTACCTAACGTTCAAAGTTTCAACAAAACTATTATGTATATTTTAAAAATTTATCTTGAAAATAAAATGTTCTGCACTGCTGCTTCTGTTATTCTCTTTTTTCTAATGTTATAATGAATGGAGTATAATTGAGACCAATTTTACAATTTCGTATCGTTTTTATACGAAATGGTAAAATTGGGCTGGTAAAATTTTCTCTTTCCGTAGGGAAAAATAATAAATATGTGAGTTACTTTGCACCTGAGGACTTTACATGTAGCTTTTACAATAATAGTAATAATAATAAAAAATACTTACGTGCAATACGTCGTCCTCTGCCCCTTTCCGTCTCATAAATAGGTGCTTTGAATTCATTTCAATTTTTTTAAGTGTTACTTCACACTATTTTTTTGCATGCTGTTCAAGATGGCTAAATAGGTCAAAGCTCTCAAATATCATTACTGTATATATAATATATTTATTGCAAATAAGGACATTATTATTATTATTTATTCAGAAAAACGCGCGAGTCACGCGTGTTTCGTTATACATTAATCGTTAATAAGGAATCTTGTTTTTAATAAAGCAAAAATCTGCAGTATTCAACTTAAAGCTAACACTAAAATCAATTCTTAGTTCTAAGCAAAAAAAAAAAAATTAAAATGAAGTAGTTCCCAAATTCTTTATGCACAGGTTAATGACATAAACATTTTAAGATCTAAATAAAAGATCTTAATTGTAATTTAAGTACATAAATTCGCTAAATCTTGCAACTGTTAAATAGTTTTCTTCAACTGATCCATCTGAATAAAAGTTTACTTTAAATGACAATGCATGGTCAACTAAGTGGCAAAATTTAAATCTAATATGGCGTACTATCCAAGATAGTGATTTGTTTATTGTCGTACTATCGTATATGGATATCAAAGGAAAGGTGTGCCGGATAGCGACCACCGGTACTTGGTTTTGATTATTCGTGGCTTTAGCTATTGGAAATTTTGCGTAATTTTTGGGAGCGATAAATAAAAGATGTGTGTCGTTGAAAAACCGTTTAAAAAGTGAAAGTATAAATTGTTTCAAAAAGTTACAACGTCTTTTTCTTTGTAAGTTGCGTTTCGTTCGTTCATGAACAAAAGGTTTGCTAAGAAAGTATTTCGTTATTATTTACCAAAAATATTTAAACTGTTTGACAGCACAATTCTCTCCCGACTCATTCATATCGGTTGCTGACCCCATTCTCAATGATTATATCGAATGTAGTGGTACATTTTTTGCTCATTACTCTTTTTCGCTTCATTTTCGTTGACTTTTGGAAACTTACTCAATATTAAAGTACCTACTTATAAACTTTTAGAAGCACAAATTTATTGCTTACATTAGGTCGCTTGTTATAAAGTTCAAAATTGTTATTCTGTGAATAATGTTTTTGTTAATATTCCATAGTGTCAAAGGGCAATTAGGAAATTTATCTTTTATAATATTCTTCTAAGATTATTACGAGAAACTTTCAAGGAATTTTTCTTTAAGTAATAGTATATATATGTCGTGGCCAAATCGTAGACTATTATCTCTTTATGATTTGGCCGGCTTTTCCATGACATGGTCTTTTTTATGAAACGGCTACCTGTAACTGAACTTCAACGTTTCATGTTATGGCAATCCACTTTTGGTCATTTAATGATATGGGTGTAGGGTGACCAATAAATAAATATTATATATTCTTCTGGTATTTTCAACAATTTTTGTGTTGTAGCAAATATAGGTATGATTGTAAACTATTGTAGGTATTAAGAACAACAAACTTTCTTACTGTGAGTACATCAACTTCTGCGTATATCTTCTTTACCATATCCATCCTCACCTCCGCACTCCTTTAATTATTTCAGTAAATAGTAAGTTTAGTGAAATAAAATTGAACCGTTGCAAATATTCTTAGTAAGATATTCTTGGTAATAAATCTCTATCGTCTAACCGTGCTACGGTATGTAATTATAGGTATATAACTATATAGATATACATTTGATTGGTCACCCTACTTTCTTTTGTTTTTTGTATAATCTAAAAATGAAAATCATGTGTCACAAACAAAATGCGACATCAGCATCTCTAAAGTAGACTAATGTAACAATTTTACGATATGATCACTAATGGTTGGTCTAATCATAAAGCAATCATACGATCGGCTGTCGATTAACGATATGGTTGTTATTCATTGTCTGGCCAGAAAACATCGAGTATTTTCATTTCATGAAATGCGACCATCTTATGAAATGACCGGCCACATCATGAATTGATCAATTCTACGTTCTGGCCACAACATATATATGTCAATATAGCATTGTTGGTTGATTAGAATGTATGAATTGATTGTAGTTTCTTTGTTGATAATTTTACTTAACGGTTTACCTTTAAGGTTATTACTATTGATGATTTTAAATATCTGTATGTATATTAGACGTTTAATGTTATAATATCATTGGCGCAACAACTTATTGATGATATATAAATGCTAATTATGATTATTAATTTCTTCATTAGCGGCAGTGGTGGTGGCTTTCTTCGTGTGCTGGGCGCCGTTCCATTTCCAGAGGCTGTTCTTCATCTACGGCACCAGCTCGCGGTACTACCACACCATCAACAAACACCTGTTCAGTGTTGCAGGCGCGTTCTACTACGTGTCCGCTACTGTAAACCCTATACTCTACAACTTGATGAGTCACAGGTACTTTAGTGGTGACACACAAATTATATTCTATAGAACTTTTTAAAATGTAATACAGTACAGAGTCCACTCACAGGCATAATAATGACAATGTTATAATCTTCCGACACATATTTTCGTTTGTAAGTTTTTGTTGGGGTCTTGAAGAGTGTAGTTGATAGTAGTTTGGATAAAGTTGAATAATAGTTCAAGTTAAACACTGCACTGTGTAAATAGTTAAGTTTATTTAATTAGTAGATAAGTTTAGTTAGTAGATACATGAGTTGATCAAGTATAAATTACAACTAACTTTAATGTCGATACATATTAAATACTTAGATTATTGACCGCACGCCAAAGTAGGTTGCACGTCAGCAGTAAATATAAATTAGTAATTGTACGTAATCGTACAGTTTTCTTAATAAAATAAAATTAAATAGCTCCATCTATTATATAATTCTTTAGAAAATAAGTACGTTGTGCAAGTTGAAGTTGAAATAATTATTTTCAATTCTTTATTTTTTTTTTATAAAGGGAAGTTAGTATTATTTTTATCGAAAACAGGCAACTGTTTGACTGTACACTAAAATAAATTGGGTTTGAGTATCATAGTCACAAAATATCATTCATAATTCTACGGTACTAGTACTTGGTGGTCGCTAAGAAGTATTTACTACATATAGTTTTGACAGCATCTTCGATCATGAAGTTTCGATTACAAATAATATGATGTGTCACAATAATTGATAATCTATGAAACAAAAAAAAAATCAAAGGTTAATAAATAGTTCGTATAACAGGGACAGATCCATTTTTCATTCTTTTTATGTGTTGCTGGAACAAAGGCTGCAAGGTATCGACAGCCAGCGGGTATTGTTACGGCGCGAGATGAGGGTATGCCCGTACAAAGGAATAAATCAAGAGAAACGTAACGTTGACGTACTTTTTCAATTCAAACTTTAACTTGTTTGACAGGAGAATGTCATCATTTTTTTTACATTACCTAAAGGTAATATTGGAACCATTTTTGTTTAAGTTATTCGTATAAATTCCGCTGTCTTCGGACTGTCTACGTCGCGAATTTATTATCGGAATTCTGCAACACATTGAATCATATTAGAATTATTGCACTTGCGGATAAAAAAATCGCATTTACTAAATTATAGATTGATTATAGATTATTCTCGATTGCATCAGCACTAGAGGTGGGATGATCTTAGCGGTTCGTATCTCGTCTAGTCGGCGGCTGCCAATAAAATGACAAAATTCATATTGAAATGTTTACATCGCTAATTCAGAATAGGCCTCAAATTGTGATTGTGGGAAAAAGAGACTGTGGGAAGAAATATACGTTGTAGTGGATCAAACAAATTAAAATTATTCTCTGGTTCATTTTAAGAGTTTCGTAATCAAACGGTAGAAGGGGAATATTACTAAGGCTACGCCGTCTGTTTGTCTGTCACCGGTTTGTATCTGATGAACCGTGAGAGTTAGATAGTTGAAATTTTCACACATACAATTATAATCGCAATGCGGACAAGGTGTGACGTCATTGCGAAATAAAAATCGCTATGCGGACAGTTCCTTAGTCGTTCACCTACACGTTACTCATTTTTATTAGGTTCCATAAAGAATATTTGATGTGCCACCGCTATCCGTCTGTATATCCAACATCGTTATAAAGCAGACGAAAATAATATATAACCAATAATTCAAATCCTACTGCACAAACAACAAGCGAAACATATCTAATAGAAAGTAATCCTGCGCGGGATCTCATTAAAATGTTAATTCATGTTAAAGAGTATGCGGAGGCAGTGAACTCTGCATGTGGCGGCGCGCGTCACGCTCCGCCGACTTCTTAGTTGAAATTATCACCGATAAATTAATTCTATATTTGTTTATTGGACTGGATATTTCATATAACAACCTAATACTATAGTAATTACATTTATATTCAAATAGTTAATTTTTACATAAATGATAAATTCTGACAGTTATTTTCATTCTCATATCATCATCAAATTATATAAAGAAATCAAAAAACAATATATGCTCGGTTACTGAGCGAAAGGCTTTATTTGGGTACCGAATTAAAGCTTTTTATTATAATATAGTGTGGCTGTATGTTTTGTTGTAGCTCGATAGCTCGACGATGTGGCCCAACATAGTTAAATATAAAGTCTGATTAAAAAATATTAACTTTAAAATTATTGTTCAGGTACAGGATCGCGTTCAAGGAAACATTATGCTGCAGCAAAAGACAACGAAAACAGGGCAAGTACAGGGAACATTCCAGCATCAGGGAGACCGTCGTGAACCACACGTCCGAAGGAGGCCACCTGGTTAGGATCCGCTCCTCCCGCGACAGGCGAAACAGGATAGATAACAAAGTACTCAGAACTTGCAGTTACTACGGCGCTGAGACCACTGCCCTCTGCACTGACAAATGGAAGGACTATTACAAAGACAGCAAGAAGAACAGTCTACTGAGAAATGATAGGAGCTGCAATTCATCACCTAGTAATAATAATGATAAACAAGTCATGTTTAATGATCATAAACGCGACTCCGACGCTGACAACGACGATAACATCTCAATACATTTGCACAAGTAAACTAGATTGCATGCCAATTCGAATCAATCTTCTTTGTGAAATTCATACCCACAATGATACGTTATTATTTATCATAGGAAAAATATTTGAAACCAATTCAGTAGCTTACATAAATATCGATCAGTTAGCAACTACAAAGAAAATATCAAACATTAAATAATTACAACAGTATTATAGGTCTCCTGTAGCTCTACTAGAGGGGCACTTGACCACAATATTGTTAAGGTCAGCTTAGTTAAATTATTTTTCCGAAATAAAATTCAAAATTTAACGAAATATAGTTTACTGTGTTTATTACTTTTCATTAAAATGATTATTAGGAGATTAACTGCCAATCTTAACAAAACTACATGCAATTAATGTAATCTATAGGTTAAAAATATGATGCTCTGGAAAATGCACTACTTATGTTTATTTAGTTTAATTAGAAAGTTGCTAATTATTAGTATTATATTAAAACATGACAGTATTGATAATCCTGATAACTTTAGCAGTAAGGTTTATAATATTTGTCGTTAAATATAAAATCTTCTCAGTAATATACAATAATATCGCTTACCGTATTCTTGTTCAAGCACTTTCGTGCTATTATAACAGTTAAGCCTCAATATAATTCAATTCTACATGTTACGATTGTGAAACTATATGTGTAATAGAATAGAAATAACATGTTACATTAATGTTTTCCGATTACATAGTTGATGCTATAACATAACCTTTAACGCAATAGACTCCTTTAATAATTAATCATAGAATAAGTCACTTCATTTTTTTCATTAGGTACCTGTCGCAGTTCTAACCCAGCCTAACGAATTATAGAATTAATAGATAATTAATAGTTTCAATATTAAAAGTTTACAATAATAATAATTGTCATACTAATAAATGTGGATCGAGTTCCAGGCTAATTGCGAACCGTGTCATATTATAAGGGGTTGTTCCGCATTCATCCTATGACGTCTCGTCTTATGCATTTTTACTTACTCGAGTTACATTATTCAGAGGCAGACAACTCTGAAAGAAAAGTATACACAAGAAAAACTAATAGATACTGATTTGATCGATTGAATAATATTAGCGATACTTACTATATCATCATCGCAAATCAATCGAGATTGATTTATAATAATATTGGAGTTCCGGTGAACACTACAATGTAAAAATACAAGTAGTGGAACATTCTATTAAGATGTAATTATTAGGTACGTACACGTTAGCAGAGTTGGCCTACTGGAGTCTAGTGCGGGGGCAGCTTCTGTGAAGGAAACATAAATTGTTGATTTACTTATTATTATATAGCACTCGGTTACAAAGAGACTCAGATATTTTCCCTACAAAAAGAGTGTTTCCCTATAAAAAATATTGTAATATCACGTTTTAACACCGACAAAACCCTTGTTGTTATCAGTGAACAAATCAATATATTGTTAAAGGTCATGGGTTCGACTCCCATCTCAGAGTGCCTGGAACAAAGTGGATTATTCATTAAGGAAATTAATATAGTTAGCGTTGCTGTAAATCATAGGCTCTTCTCTCTTTTAACCTCCTAATACCATATAATAAAAGTGAATAAAATAATGAAAAAAAAAACCCCCCACCTACTTCAAAAAAGTTTAATAAAAGTGAAAATAATTAATGGAACTTCTATTGAATACGTATATGTGTGTGTTATTAATAGCGTATCGTATTATATCATACATATAACTACTACAGAAACATCGATTTAAATGAATATGAATGTAATTATCTATCATTATGGAAATAAATGCATTTCTCCTGATTTGTTGTATATATTTCAATTAATTTTAGTTGTAATACTCTAACGTGAATATTTTATTATAAATTGGCAACACATCCGTTTTGGAAAACTCCGGAACTATCGTAAAGTTTTTTCCGAAATCTCTTATCGTTAATTATCGTCCGCTCTTACAGTAACTGACGGCGCATGTTATGCATAATAATTAAATTATAATATGACCGTATATATAACGAGTATCATCCTACTCATGTGTAACTTGCAGGGCCCGCAGTACGGAGTGATACGAAGAAATATACTTAAAAATGGTTTATTACACTTTACAGCGGTTATTACAGTATGAGCGAAATGTGAGGCTTGTTGCTAGTGCGGATGGGTGCAGAACACTGACCCGCGAAAGGAATTGTTATACATCTTTGCTATTTATTATTTCACTGCCCACTAACATTTATACATTGACAAGGTGAAACAAAATATATTAATGAGCGCGTCGCTTACATCATGTGTATTTCTATGTATTTGTAAAGAAAAGTATATTTACCTAACAAAACATAATATAAACAATACAATTAATACGACCGATTGTATATATTGAGAGTACACAGACGAGAGACCGCAACCCTTATGAATCATTAATTTACAAAATTTGTTTTTGAATGAAACTTTGACGCCGCTAAGAGTTATATAATCGCCCGTATAAAAGCCAATAGCGTTGCAAATCCAACGAGCCTTTTGTTTCAATTTTGTGAATTTATTGGCAATGAATGAGTACATTATGGAGTTTAAATAGAATAGACGCTGCGCCGGTGACGCATTATAAGGTCCAGCACCTTTTTCAGGGCCTTTGACCGTACCTTTCTCGCTACTCAAATTAAAAAGCTTAAACTTTACTTAAAAGGAAAATTAAATCCAGACGTATTTATGTGATGTTAGTCACATTCTCAAACTTATCACTATCATTAGATAATAATTAACTTCTGAATTCGAATTAATGTTTCATTTTAATGCTTAATTATTTGAAGATTACGATGCATATTTGGGGGTTGCGTACATCGTTCAATTCACCAGAATATTCAGTGTCAACTTCGACTAGGATGGTTTGGATATAGGAAGTTAAACGCTTCTTAAGTATTCAACGAATTTTATAATTATCAAGACCACTGAAAATTATCTTCTTGCGTTGCTACTCACTCGCAGAGAATATATAATAATCATTGTACACCAGAGACATAAACAATATGAAAACTATAAAGAGTATATATTCTAGGTACAAAAATTTCGCTACACATACATACTTTAATATAATTAACAGCTGCCATTAACTTTAATTCGCCGCCAGCAGACAACCGTCGCCCAGTAAGATAAGAAATACTCAGATGAATGGTTTGATTGGCGACGTTGTTTCAGAACTTGCTGTCATGCATCCTAAAGAGATATACTTGCTAAAGCTTGACGATTTCTAATTGTAATTTATGCTTTTTGACTAAAAGTTCAAATAAATTATTTGGCGTACAAATATTTGCTAAATCCGAATCCGAGAGATTCACTGCAAATAATTCTGTTAAGACGCTCTTACCTCATAGAGTACTATTTGTGTAAGTAAATTGTATTTCTAGACTACTGAGGGTTGTCAAAACAAAAGAGTTTATTACACAGAATTTTTACTGTTTGTACTTAGCCAAAATTAAGATAATTAAATAGGCGTAACCAAACAAAGGCAGTGTTTCTAGGAACAAATATTCTTTGTTAGTTTAAACTTAGCTTAGTCTCTGCTTATCAATATGATTTTTGAGTAATACTAAATGCAATCGTAGTGAAAAAATCCACTTATAATACCACTATACCATAGAACTACATAAATTTTAAAGGAACTAGGTCCAAATTACTACAGATATAAATTATAAAGTATTCATATTACTCTAACGACTGTATTCGTATGTATAATTATTTTTATAGGTAAATGTATGGGCGTATGTTAATCCATTATTACTCTATCCTGTAAAGTTACAATCAGTCCCAATGTATGTACGTAACATATGTTGATGACCCTGTCTAGTTCCGGAGCTGAATGTTGTGTCACACAAGATTTATTTAAGTATAACGGGTACAAAATATGTGTTTAAATGAAAACCTATGCTATTACAATCTTTGATTTGATAACACTGTATAATTAGGATCAGTTGGGCTCGCCAATATCTCTTAGAGAGAAATTTAAAGAAATTGGAATATTGACGGTTGCATCTCAGTTTATATATAATTGTATACTTTTTGTCCGGAACAATATTAATGTGTATACTAAACATAGTGAAGTTCACAAACTTAATACTAGAAATAAAAACAAGCTAGTAATGCCTTCTTACAGGTTACAGAAGGTATTAGGTTCTTTCATGGGTCAAGGTATACAATACTTTAACAAGATCCCCAGTGATGTATTAGATTTGCCAATAAATCATTTTAAAAGTCATATTAAAAATTGTCTACAAAGTAAAGGATATTATACCGTTAAGGAATATCTAAATGACAAAAAGGCATGGTGTTAGATATTTTAACTTTATTGTATTTACTTTCTAATATTGTAATGGAAAGTGACTTCATATTCTAAAGAAGTCACTTTTCAATAAGACTTCTCTGTGTGAAATAAAACAAGGAGAAAAAAACAGCCCTTGCTGAGTTTCTCGCCGGTTCTTCTCAGTACAAGGTCTCCCGCCGTAGTTTTGCGAACCGATGGCGTAGTTTTCGACTTTCACAAGTCTGTAAAAGCCTAAACTGAATAAATAAATTTTGATTTGATTTGATTTGATACACCTGACCGATGATGTTGATGGACCATAAATCTCCACGCTGTCCCAATGTGGATTGGAGGGCAGCAACTGCAAATGCAGCCAGGACCAATGGCTTAATGTGCTTTCCGAAGCACACAGTAGCACACACTCACAGTAGCTCGAGATAATATTAGGTCCTTTCATATGAAATTGGTGTTTGGTATGGGAGGAACAAAAAGTCAAATATTTTTTTAATATAATTATTAATTTAATCAAAGTATAAACCATTGTTATCTATGCACTTTTGCCATCTCATAGGTAGTTCATTGATCCCTTTACTAAAAAAACTATTCGAACGGGAATAAATAAAATCTTTGAAGGCGATTTATTCATTTTCAAGAAGTCATCCAAATGTCGAAAAAAATGGTAATCTGTTGAAGCAAGGTCCGGGGAGTGCGGTGGAATTCTTAGACATTCCAATT